CTTTCTCCCAAGAAGCAGCTGGTGGTTTTGAACTGCTGATCTTGCTGTTAGCTGCCCAACTCGGAACCCACTATGCAATGTGGTTTGGGGAGGAACTATGTAAATAAGGTGTTTGTGGTCCGCCAAGGGGATTGGACAGTTTGCTGATAATGCAAAGAGGGTGGGGTCATGCAAATAAGGTATCTGGAACCCTATTGAGAGGATTGGTCCATTTTGCCACCCTGCTAGGCAAAACAAAGCACCTCACTACCACTGACAAGAACGAGGTGTGGAGTGTGTCCTTTGTACTTTGTGGTCTCTGTGTGAACGTCCCATGCCTGGGAGAGGGACAGGGACAGGAGAGAGAGCTGTGGTAGCATAGATGGAGCAGCAGAAACATGAGGGTGGCAGGACCAGGAGATCAGTGTGAGACACAGGGTGGACTTCCCAATCCACAGAGCAGGGAGGTCAGGTTGGGCCATTGGGCAGGAGGCCTGCTGCCAGAGGGCAGTGCTTCCAGGCGCTTGGCAGAGTTAGCTTGCCATGCCACAAACCCAGAGAGTTGAGCGCCTGAGGGCTGAGGCTTACTGGTGGAGAGGTGTGCCCCTCGACTCTTATTGGTGGTGCTAAAGAGCTTTGCAACACCTGCCTGAGCATGGTGGGGGCTGAGGGGCCAAGAGGCCCAAGGCCAGAGAGTGGCATGCCTTCAGCCACGACTGAGCAGAACCTCTCCTGATTGAAAAACTGTACCCGAGTCATTTCTGATCCTGAATCCTTCCCAGGAAACTCCATCAGTAGGAGGACGGTCTGTGAATTCCATGTGGCCATTACAACAAACTGATCCGCCCAGCAGATAAGTAGGATGCAGGGGGAGAGGTTGGGAATGGTAAAAAGATCGGAAAGAGCAGGCACATCTGACCTCTGCCTCACAGGAGCCAGCTTGAGGCTGATTCTGCCCCTCATGAAGCTGAACAAGGAGAGCCGACACCCCCATGCCACCGTGTTTACAAATGGTCGAGCCATCGATTGGATGCGAAAGGACACAATACCATTTTCATGGGTGTGTTTGCTCTCCATTTCAACCTAAGGCAACAGTCCTCCCCGACTCAGCCAGAATCAACAGGTGCTCAGAAGCTCCTGTCTCCATTGAGTCCTTGCAGCACGAGGCAGGTGTCAACCATTCTGCCTTCCAGGTAAGGACACGGAGGTTCTGGCTCTTCACCGACTCCCCGGGGAAGCACCAACCACAGGACAGACCTGAGCCTTGGTCTTTTCCACTACTCTGCACTGCCTCCCTGTGTGGACGGCCCTCTCTCCATCCCTGGACAAAGTCACAGGGTGGGTGGGGCCGTCGCTGAACGGAGGCAGTTAGGAACCGAGCTGCTGCTGCTGCTGCTGCTTCTGCTCCAGGCAGTCTCCAGGGCTCAGCACCGCTCCGCCTCCCTCCCCGGGTGCATTGTCCACTCCCCTGAAGGCCTTTGTCCTTGGCGAAGGCCTCCCGACCTTCCATTCCCATCCCATCCCGGTAGCACCCCAGACCCCCACTTCCTAAATCTCAGCCAGAACCTTATTCTACAAGGACACCCTGTCAACCTTGAAAGGCGAGGTACCCCAGGGCAAGGAAACCGAAAAGCCTGTCCTTGCCAGCACAAGAAGGCAGCGCCACCTAATGGTCTCAGAGCCAAGCGTCCCGGGCGGTGACATTTCCCACAATCAATATCTCATTATGAACCATCATCACAACCTGATGTTTACTTTGGGAGAAACGGTTGGCAATGACGGATGCTCACGCGCTTCCCAGTGCGATTCAGGGCACTGTGATCCTAAATGCCACAGTGACAATTAAACAGTGTCCTGCCCATGAGCAAACAGGAGGGAGTGGGGTCGGATTGAGTGTCTGTTTCATCTCGACTGCTCACCAAAAACAAAGCACCCGCCGAAGCCACTGACCTTTCATGAACTGCTGGAAGGAAAATGCTTGATAAATAATAAATAGACCACTACTGGAGGCTGCTTAGAACCACCTTTTAATTAAAAGAACTGAGCAACCAGGAGGTCAGGTGACTAACATTGCAGCTGGAGTCCAGGAAAAGCATCCATCAAGGGTAAAACTCCATCCCAGAAGCATTATTTCTTGTCAGTAGCACTCAATGGAAGCACCCTCTGTCGTCTGTCAGGGCAGCGCCGGGTGGGTGGTGGCAACAGTGGCATTTTGTAGCTGACCTAATGCTTACGTCCCTGCCTCCCTGGCCCTCCCTTGGCAGCCCTCTCGCTTCTGTGTGGCAGAAAGGAGTCGTTAGAAGCTGCCCCAGGGCCCGGCTCATCCATTCAGATGCCTGCTCACCCCACGGAGCGATGCCCAGCAGTGACTGGGAAACCATTTCCTGGCTTTTCCCCAGGAGGGCAGGTGCCCTTCCTCTGCCAACCAAGGTGGCCGCAACCAAGCTGCTTACTGAACGGACTCACTTGCCCAGACCCCCCGACTTCACTCAGCACCCTGCGGGGCTCCAGCCTCCCTCACCGGCCCGAGTCTCCCCTCTACTTTTTGGCTGTTCAGGGACAGATCTCAGGTACGTGGGAGCCCAGGAACAAAGTCATGGCTCGAGCCCCTGACACGACACACCTGTTCTTGTTCCAAGCTCCGCAGTCCCCCAGCTGAGGCCATGCCAGCTCGCTTCACTACCAGCACCTTATCGCGTCCCATGTCCTAGCCCCACCCACCCACCCAGCCACCTGTGGGTCCATGTAACCGCCAGCCCAGGGCCCTGTCAGAATGGATGCAGTGGGAAAACCAGCTTGTCACACTTGGATGGCTTATCATCGCACTTGAACAACTCCGTTAACAAAGAAAGCAAAACTGCTGAACATTAGTTAAGTGACAAGCCATCATTTATTTAGAAATTTTTAGAAAATCAGGAGGCCTCTGGGGGCACAGACTATACCACTTTTATGTATTAACAGAGAACTTGACAGTTTTCAACGTTCTATAAGGTTACAAAGAGGCTTGAGCTTGCCGTCTAAGACAGGCAGGCGGGGACTGGGTGGACCCAACCAGAAGGACAAGGAGAACTCTCTCATGCCGGTGCAAACAGAGCCGCTAAAACAAGCTCCCTGGTGAGCCAGTAGATGTGGGACTCACTTCCTGGCCCCCAAGCCCTTCGAAGGTGAGCAGCGACCCAGCCCCGCCCCACACCCGGGTCTCTCTACTCCCCTAGAACAGACCCCAAGGCTTGCCTCTGCACTATGGACGTCCTCTCCCACACAGATGAGTCCCTGTCTCTGCTCCGTCAATGTTGCACCTTGAGAAACAAAGTCTTCGGAGAACACCAGTCCCTCATTCCCAGCTTGGGGTCTTGTTCAGGTGGGCCATTCTAGAACCACCTCCGCTGTAGTCTGAGAAGGCTCCTCTTCCCGCCCTCCCTGCCTGCCCCCTCAACCCCGTTCTCCGCAGCAGGTTCAAGTTCATCCTCCTTAGACCTGACACTGCTTCCCTCAAACATCCCATCTCCAGCTCAATTCCCTTGTATCCTTCTCAAGGCTACTTCAGTCTGACCCCTCCTCGTCACTCAAACTTTCTCCGTAACTCCTCAAAACAGAAGATGCCCCTGCCACATGGAGGGTGCTTCAAGTTCACACACAAATGCAATGGAGCACGGCCTTTTTGAAGGCCCTTCATCTAGGAGCAGGCTTTGCCTCCATCCCACTGATCCTCACAATGCGGACCACAGGCAACAGTGCCGACTTCCCAGGCTGATAACGGTCCCACCGGCCAAAACCCGAACGGGAACCCAGACCTTGCGGCTTGTCTTGCGCAAACGTCACTGTCACTGGACGCAGGCCTTCCCCTCTCCTGCTCGGCAAACCCTCACGGAGGGTGTTCATTAGGTAGCTGGAGAGGGGGCTGTTCCTCTCCATGCCTAGGGGCCCCCTACAGGAGGCTGGAAGCCAATGCAGCCCCCTGAGCCAGTACACCTGGGTGGGCCCCAATCTAGGCCAGGTGGGCTTAATTCAGCCAATGAGGTGGACCAGGACCGTGGACCAAGCCTCCCAGAGGAAGGCCCTAAAAAGCCAGAACCTGGAGCTCACCACTCTTTTCCCTACTCCTCTGCCTTCCTCTTGGCTGTGCTGCGGTCTCTCTCTCTCTCAGGTCCCCACGGGTGTAAGATGTTCGGTAAAACCTGAAATTTCTTCTATCCTTTATAAGCCCCCACTTGGATCACAAACCAGGCTTTGGCGTGAATTTCTTTCTCGTGTGAAGCCAAGAATCGAGGTGGGCGTGCATCTGGGGAGAGGCCATCAAAGGGGCTTTGACACCCGACTTAAATATTAGGAAAGCTTCTAAGCAGGCAACTCACTGGAAAGGACAGTGAGGGTGTGATTCCTAAAGGCCATGGTGGTGGCAGCAGACATGCTGCAGGACCACCCACCCTATACCCCTATACACACACCCACTCCCTATACACACACCCATCCTGATTCCCCTTAAACCTAAGGAGACCACATTTAAAGTGGGACACCATTGACGGGGGTGGGAGGTTCATCATCTAAAGCAGCTGCATTCTCTTGGCAATAAGTTACCTGGAGCATTCAGTCGTTAACTGGATGTAATGAATGGTTCGTTCATTCGTTCAACAACTATTTCCTGAGCAGGCTACTGTGTGTGGGCCTATGTTAGAGTGTCTCCAGCACAATCGACCCAGGAGTTGGTTGGGCCCTTCATCATCATTGATGTAGCAGCCCTCATTCTTGCTACAAGTCAGCTTGGCCTCTCGAGTTGAAGGTCAACGTTTCTATGGGCAGAGTACCAAAATGATCTGCAGACACAAACAGTTGGCCTAGAAACCAGACGGCGTGTGAAAGGCAATGCCTGATGGGCCCAAAGAGAAAAGAAACACACCGAGAATCAGGTGCAGCCGGCCCGCGCTAGCATAGACCCAGCACGCCCACTCAGAACGAGTGCCACTCCAACGTGACTTCTAAGTTTCTCATGTTATTTACAGTGTCAAAGTAAATTTACTTTGTAAGCAGCTGGAGGATTCTTTATTTAACAGCATCCTAACATAAAAGTTCACATAGCTGCTTTTATGACAACCCAGAAACGGGAACTCAGAGAAGGCAAACACAATGCCTTAGAGAGTAAGAAACATTTACACAGTTCAGCTGTTAAAAATAGCTCAGCATTCATGTAGTGACTGCGGGGTGGACACGGCTGCGGTGTCGAGCCGGTGCACACGTCCCTCAGGGAGGTGAGAGACCTTTCATCTGTTCTTCAGGTGCCTCCGAGCGCTGTTTCTGGGGAACCTGCTCAGCCGGGTCTTCTTCCAATATGGTTTGGAGTTTGAGGCCTGCGAGGTCAGGTTTCCAGGAACCTCGGCCGCCTCCCTGTTGCTTAAAAGAACAGATAAAAGCGTGTCACAGGAGCATTCCCGTTTCCACCCAATTAGCTGGCTGAAGCCATTCGACTATGCACGTTCTGTCAGTGAGTAAACATTTTATATTTACTATCTCAGGTCAAATCCTACTGCGAGACATCAGAAACAGGATCATGCCTCTACAGAGAACCACTCGTTCAAAGGCCATAAAGATGCTCACCAGTTCCACGTCACACTGCTTACCACAAACTCCAATGCGCCCCGTGGGATCGGAGCCAGAGTCTGAGAAGCAAGCCAAGCCTGCCTTGAGCCTCTGGCAGAAAGGCAACTAGCTGCAGTCACCATTCAACACTCACATGCCTCGCTTCCCCGACTCGTCTTAAAATGACACCCTCGGCCAATAAAGCCTTCCCCGTCTCCACAAATAACTTCTCCTCGTCTGTCTCTCCGCGGTCCTGCAGCTCGGTGTACTTCTCCACAAACCTGGAATTCCAAGGGGCACCTCTTAGTCGTGGCTACTAGGGTGGTCCAGCGGCACTGTCCCTTCCACCCCACAAGGTCCCCGACAAGTCCGCCTGGATGGTGGCTGTGTGCCACCAGTCAACCAGGAGAAGTGGATTTCTACGAGACACCTTTGTTGAGGACGATGAAGTTCTTTACATTTAAAAACGAAATAAATAAAAGCAGCCTGGGACTTGAAAATTTGCTTACCTTTGACAAGTAGATTTGAAGTTTTGATCGAACAGATCAAAAGGTTTTTGACCAGATCCATAGGCTGAATAAAATTTCCTAGAAAATACAAACATAATTATTAGCCTCCAGTTACAGATCATGGCCAAGAACTATGTACAAGAAGTCACTGGTGCTGAGGTTTTAAGTGTGAGCTACATTTCCGAAGCCTGGCAGTTTTTCTTCTAAAAAGTAAGGCATGCACATGCTAAATACATCGAAGGGCACAAAAGCGTGTCCAGGTGAAAGGCAAGACTGCCTGCCACCGCCTGGCACCTCTGTATCCCAACCCCATTTCCCTCCGGAAAAGCACCCACTAGTGCCCCCTTTCTGTGCATCCATCCCCAAGTTTCTAGTGCTGCACACCCAGAGGCATTTCTCGATTGCTGTCCCGTTACAGGTCTCAACCTGAAAGATGGTGTGCTGCACTGCTGCATCCCTCTCCACTTACCATTTCTTAAAGAGTCTCTGAAACCCCAGCAAAGACACAATCCCCAGCCCTTCCCTACTCTAGGCAGCGCTGCAACAAATATCCTGTCCATCCTTTCATGTTCAACTATGCAAAGTAGCCTTGGGACTAAATTCCCAAAAGTGGCTTTTTGGCTCCAAAGGTGTGGACCTTTGTAACTGCCACTCTGCTTTCCAGCTGACCTCCGTGCCTCCCACCCCCACCCCTACCCCAGCCCCACCCCATCGACTCGCACCAACACGGACTTCCCAACCTTTTTGAGCATTGCCAATTTGATAGATGCTGTTTTAATTATAGCTTATTATGGAAGAAGTTGCATATATTTCCCTATTCATGGGGGAGGGGGGCGCTTCAAAATGTCCATGGAAAAATAGAATTGAAACACAATGACATTTCCCAGGAACTTTTTTGGAGCCCCTCATAGAAGCAAATTGAGTTTTCTGTTCTGGGAACACCTGAATGCTCATGTCTTCTTTCATTTGCCTACTTGTAATTTGCCTACTGGTTTCCAGCATACTGTGAGGCAGTGTGAACTGAGAACTGGTCCTCTGGCGCACGCTGTCATTCCCGCCCCAGCTTGTTGGCAGAAGAGCAGCTTCAAGCTTGTCTTTCGTGGCTTCTGGGTTTTATGTCATGCTTGGAAAGGCCTTTCTCTGATGATTTTTCAAATCCTGGCACTGACTTCCTCTGGCACTACCAACGATTTCACTTTTCTACATTTGGATTTTGATCCATCTAGCATCTATTTTGGTCGAAGTTCCTAAAAATATGTATTTTTAAATCCTCCAAAAAATAAGTAAACATGGGGCAGGGAGGGAATAAAGGGGAACTGATATGATCAAGAAGAAAGAAAATGTTTTGAAAATTATGATGGCAGAAATTATAAAATTATGCTTGATCTAACTGAATTACGGATTGTTACAATATCTGTAAGAGATTCCAATAAAATGATAAATAAAATAAACAAGGCCACAGAGATTTAAGTTCTAAGAACTACACAAATACAAGGCGTTATTATTTGGGTACTGACAGTACCAATGGGGAGCCTGGTGGCATAATGGTTAAGCACTCCGCTGCTAACAAAGAGGTCAGCAGTTCAAACCCAGAGCCACCTCATGGGGAAAGGAATTGGCAGTTGGCTCCCAGATCACAGGCTTGGCAATCCTGGAGGGCAGCTGGCTTGTCATATAGGTCACTAGGTGTCAAAACCAACCTCAGGGAATATGCAGTGTTACATTTAACAGGAAAGAGGCACCAGTGAAGTATCTCACTCTTCAACAACCTGTCACCCAGGTCTCCTGTCATCCACATAGAAGCACCAAATGGCTGTAATGCAGAAGTGAAGGTCAAGCAAACTGACCAAAGGCATGCAAGGGAGCGGAGCAGAGGGTGGCGAAAAACTATTTAATGCCCCAAAGATCTCAAGCCCTACCTGAGCACTTCCATGTAGAGCAAAACATACTTATCTTCTCCTACCACAAAAAAAAAGCCCTGAATAAAATATATCCCTCAAGTAAAAGGTATCTGGATCTCAGGGCAGCATCGGGCTGCTAACTCCAAGGTCAGAAGTTCAAACCCACCAGCTGTTCCACAGGGAAAAGATACGGCTGTCTTCTCCCGTAAAGACTCACAGCTTCGGAAACCTCTATATAGGGTTGGTATGAGTCAAAATCTACTCAAAGGCAGTCAGTTTGGCTTTTGGCTTTGTTTGGACCTTAATGGAGAATGTAATGGCTTTATAAAACCCACTTGCATGCACCAAGGTACAGTGGCAAGAACAAGGAGGGATGCTTGAGGGAACTGCACCCAGTTTGTTTTCCCGTCAAAAGATACATGACTGCACAACTTAAAGCTACATATACACATGCCCACTTGGGCGGTAAAGACCTTTACTAAATGACTGAATTTTCTCAAATAACACCCTTTGAACACACCCAGGTCTCCCTGGTGTTGAAAGAAGAAAAAGATTAGATGCTGGTTTCCCTTCTAGCTATGTAGGATCCTTTCTCCTTTCCTTGCCACTCAAACTTCTGCACTGCGTGGTTGGTAATAAAATAGGAAATAAAAGCAAGATAGCATACACTATAAAAATGTTTAAAAAGCAAGGGCTCCCTGCCCCTCAATTCCCATGGGTGCTAATTTCTACACCCACGATGCTGAAGTGGCATCAAGGAAGCCAAGCAATCTCTTCCCTGGCCATGTTCCCTTCTCCACGGTGGAGCAGACGGTCCAGCCCAGTGGTTCTCAGCCTTCCTAATGCCTCGGTCCTTTCATACAGCTCCTCATGTTGTGGTGACACCCCCCCCAACCATAAAATTATTTTCGTTGCTACTTTATCACTGTAATTTTGCTACTGTTAGGAATCGTCATGTAAATATCTGCCATGCAGGATGTATTTTCATGGTTACAAATTGAATATTATTAAAGCATCATGATGAATCACAAAAACAATATGTAATTATATATTGTGGAATATTTATTTCTATTAACAAATAAATGAAATTTTGTCTTGGAGCATGGTGTAGCATGGTTAACAGTCTTGTATGTGGGCATATCTGCCTGGAGATGGTTGGAGTGGTATCTCGGTTCCTAAGACCATTGGAAAAATGTGTTTTTCTGTGTGAAAGGGTGTTCAACCGCCAAAGGGGTCGCGACCCACAGGTTGAGAACCGCTGGTCTAGCTGGCTGAAGCATGAGTTGGATGTCACTCCCTGACTCACCACCCTCCTGTGCAACCACTGGAAGTTAGTGACTGTCCCTGAGCCGTCTGGAACCTTAACTATCTCCCCTGAAGGGTTATTCTAAGTGGGAAACGTTTGTAAAGAGCTCTGCACAGTATCAGGCACGAGCGGATGGCACACAAATGTCCAGCGTCTCTGCCAGTTGCTGGGCTCGATTCCTCTTCTCAGAACTTGCGTTTCTGCCATCCCGGGGTGAGAACGACGTAGTAGGGGGAGAACCACGTCGGGGTCTTGTCGCTCCAAAAAAGCAAGAGTTTGAAGAGATGAATGAGTTTTTTAAAAGTGCAAGCCTTGCATACGACCCATTTCCACGGGGCAAGCCCGACTCAACCCTTTAAGCTACCCTTTAAGCTACCGCAGTGCTACCCAAACCTTTCCTTTCCAAGTTCACTGCCTCTGTGCACCTGGGCGGCGCCTCCACTCACACTCGAATGAGGTCCTCGCGGTAGAAGATGTCCTGGATGTCGGCTTTGGCTTTGCCATACCGCAATCGGACCTTCCGGAAGACGGGCTCCCTCGCCGGGGGGAAGGCCTCATAGACGTCAAACCAGAGGGGCTTCTTCTTCAACACCCCCGCCCGAAGAAGGTCTCGAGTCCTTGAGGAAGGGGAAAGGGCAAAGGTCAGTTCCTTGCGCCTGGGACGCGGGCGGCCAGCGAGCCCTCACGTGGAGCCGCAGCGGGGGCGGGGGCGCGGGCGCGTGCCCGGCTCCAAGCCGAGCGAGCTGGGCTCCTCCCGCCGGGCCCACCGGCCTCTCCTCCCTGCTGCTCGGAAGCTTCCACTCCGGAGGTGGTGGCAAGACCTCCAAGGGGCGATGTCTCCGGAGAGGGCGCGCGCCCAGGGTCTGCCCCGGCTCCCACACTTGCACCCCGGCGAAGGCCGCACCTGCTCAGGCCCACTCGAGGAGGAGCGTGACCCCGCGTCGCAGCCCCAGCACTCACCGCGAGAAAATGCTGCCCACCGTTTCCAGCCGGCTCCCCGACATGGCCGGCGCCTCGGACGCCCGGCGACCAGCCGCCGCCGGAACCGGAAGCGACTGGAGAAAGGCGCGTAAGCGGCTCGCCGAGCCCGGGATCGCTACGCTTTCTCCTCAGCCCCGGGCGCGGAAAAGAGCCGAGCCAGGCAGAAGCAAAGGATGGGCCGAACAGTCGTGCTCCTCGGCTTCTGCCAGGCTCAGACAGGAGCACTTGATAGCCGAGCCGGAGAGGGCTCGAGCTGGAGGCGCGCAGGAGTAATAGATACCTGATCTCGGGGGAAGGATTAATTACGATGGCTGTCCCCACCACCACCACCCCCACACCCCCTTTCTGGCCTTAATGAACCAATCCCTCACGGAAAGCTGGCGCGGTGCGAGGGACAGCAATTGAGGGAGAGCGGGGTGCAGCCTGAGCGAACCGACAGGCCATAAAGTGAAGGGCGTCAACTGTAGGTCCGAGCCAGCCTAATCTTGGTCACAATTCCTGGGCCTACCCCGAAGGAAACTGAGGCTCTGAGGGGGGTAGTCACTTGCCCAGGGTCGCACTAGCCCCTAGCCTTCTCCCTTCTCCCGCGGCCTAGCGCCCTCATCCCCCACGCGCGCACCCAACCATTTCGCTGGGGGTCCGCCTAGCAGCTAGGCGCTGGGAGGTGTCCCTGGCTCCTCCCGGGAATTTGACGTCTCGGAGAAGGAAATTCCAACGTCTGCGGAAAGGAACCTCTCAGGAATGGTTTACCTGGGGACGGAGTGACGACCTTGGACTGGGCCATCGCAAGCACAGGCCGAGGGGACGTGTGCGCGGGGGCCTTCCTGTGGAGCTCTTCCAAGTGACCACATCGTCGTCCCCGCTGGGCAGTGGCTGGAAAGGAGGCTTCCAAGCCTCTGCCTTCCAGTTGCAGTTCGACCTGCTGCCCAGAATTTGTGTTCCCACCGCAGGTACACTGAGGACCCGGGCACATTTTAACCAGAGCCCCGGGCGAGTCAGGTATACATGCGTAAGAATCACTCGTTCAAATCATGCTTTGCACATCACACGAAGGACCCCTGAAGACGCCGTGGACTAGGGGGTGGGCTGCTAACCAGAAAGGGCTACCTGCCCACCGCTTTCGTGCTACCTACAGACCCACAGCCTGGGGACCCCATTCCACCCAGCGCCACAGTACAGCGTTGATGAGAGGTGGAATTGGCCTGATGGGCAGGGGATGGATCTGCTACAGGGAAAGCTATGTAGCTGTTCAAGCAATTGATAGACCAAACATTGGACAGCTAACCTCAAGGTAACCTCAAGGTCGCAGGTTCAAACCCACCCACCAGGTTAAAGGATGACAAAACTGTCTGCTCCCTACAAATTGACAGAACCTCAGAATCCCTAGATGGGTTAGCTGTGAGGTGGAATCGACTCCACTTTAGAGGAGTTTGGGGCGGGTCCTAGATCATTGCCCTAGGTTTCTGGTTAAGTGAAAAGGAAGGTTGTGGAGAAACACCTCTGGTAAGATGCTGTTAAAAGAAGGCGAGAGAACACATGTGTTTGTGTTTGTACGAGGGCAATTTGTGCACGGACACAGGTGGGGGCATGGGGGAGCGCGGGTGAAACGGCAGCGGGGGAAGGAGACCCCCCCCTTTACGTATCCTTACCCTGCGAGTTTGTGTTTGCAGTTGAACTTCTGCATCCACTCACATGAGCCGCACAACACATCCCGGGAGCTCACTGCTTGTCACTAGCGACAGCGCCTCACGCCCCGCCTCCTCTGCCCCAGGTGCCCAGGTGCGGGGCAGGAGGCCGCGCCCGCAAGCAGGGCAGTGGCGGCCGGCCGGCTGGCCTTCTCTCGCAGACTCCACACAGCTATTCTTAGTCTCTCTACCGCACAGGTCGCCAGGGCGCCAGAGGTTCAGTAACTCGTGCGGCTGGTAACATCCAGCCCGCTGGTGCCCCTCCAGGGTCCGGCAATGCAGACTAGGCTGTTCCAGCGCCAGAGCCCCGAGGGTGCGGGGCGTCGGGCCACGCGGGCCTCCAGCACCCACCCTGTGGTTCTCGCCGCGGATGGAGGCGGCTCCACCTGGCCTCACACGTTTCCCATTCTGCCAGTCAGCCACACTGCTATTGTCCACTGCAGACTGGCCCAGGAGGACTCATTCCAGGTGCCATGCTCTGGCAGCCTGAAAAGGCATTGTTTAGACCCAACATGGTTGGGATTGCCAACCTTCAGTAAAACCCGCAGTTCAAGCCCAGCGCCGAAGACTCAGGCCTTCGATGAGGAGGAATTGCAATTCTTTGCTTGGGAATTCCAGCCCTGCAATTCCCAAATCATCCCAGGCAAGCCCCTTCCTCTGAGGAGTCTTGGGGGGTGGGGGGCGGAGGAAGAGCGGGACTCGCTGGGAATCCTCAATTTGCAGCAGGAATTGCACACCCAGCAGCCTGCGCTCTGAACCCTGGAGGAAGCAGTAGGGCGGTGGGGCCAGGCAGGTCCTGGCCATCTTGCAGGCAAGGAGACTGAGCTCCACGGCCTCTCCTCTGCCTTGTTGGGCCCACTGCAGCCCATTGTCTACGTGCTCCGGTCTGGTCCGGCATCCTGGGCGAGCACAGTGATTTCTCCAGCCTCTCTGTCCTCTTTTGTGGAGATGGGAGTGGCAGTGTCCCTGAGCTTGTGTCTGACAGCTCTGGAGCTGCTGTAGCCTCACCACATGCCCTTGGGACTGCCACCTGGCACGAAGCATTTTTTGCAACAGTTTGTAGATGGCCTTATTTATCTATTTAGATCCAGTCCTGCTGCAGGCATGAAGCACCTTCCTGAGTCTGCATTGGGCCCTGGGTGACAGCCGTCAGTTGGACAGTGGTCTAGTTGAAGAACTTCCAGCGGCCCATCCAGAGAAGCACAGCCCCTCTCGGCCCTCCTTCGCCCTGACTGTGCCCCAGAGTCCCATCTCTGGGGGCTGTACCCTCCTGTCCCCTTACACTCAGTTTTGTGTTGGGTTCCAGTTGGTACCACCAATGAGCAACATTGGCAGGAACCGGAAGGAAGGGAGAGGGGAGTGTGGCTGGTGTTTATTCCCCTGGCTCCCCCCTTTGCCCCAAACTGTCCAGGAGCCTAAAGTCATAGCTGCTGCCCAGCAGCCCCCACTCCCTCCCTCTCCCCTTCAGGCCTAGAGGGTTAGCCAACTAGGGTCCCATTACTAGGCATGACCAGTCTCATGATGTCAAGGCCATCCAGGGCACCCCTGCACTTTGCCCTTGGGCAAAGCATGAATGGGGGGTTACCCAACAAACAGAGGAAGGGCATCCCGAGGAAGTGAAAGGCCCGGGCCATTGACGGCATCCGTGATGCTGCTGCTCACGGTACAGAGCTGGATGGGGAACAGAGCACCGCTGCTTTTAAACAGGAGGAACACGTGTGTGTGTGTGTGTGTGTGTGTGTGTGTGTGTACACGCCCTAAGCATTGGGCTGCTAGCTGTACAGCTGGCTGCTCAATCCTGTCAATCCTGTCGGGATGGACTCAGTGCCTGTAGGTGTGGTTTGGGTGTGGGACACAGTTACATACACAGTACAAGCATAGTTGGCCTTCTGCATGTGAGGAGGAAGAGGGTGAAGACCAGGAGGAAGGTGGTGAGAAGTCAGGAAGAGGGAGAAGTGCCCCCCCCCCTCCCTGCTCCCTCTCTCAGGCCCTCGCCGGCCCACGTTGCCTCTTCCTCTCAAGGTTGGGTTCAGAAGGCAATGGGTGGGGCAGGGGAAGTCAGTGATTCAAACCCACCAGTCGTTTCCTGGGAGACACAGGAGGCCATCTATCTGTTCCATAAAGACTTACAGCCTCAGCAACTCATGAGGCCGCTGAGTCGGAATTGACTGAGTGGCTTGGTTTTTTGGTTTTACGATGTACTCAGCATTTTCACAGTGGCTCGCTCATTCGCTTCTTCAGAACCAATCTGCTCTTTCTGGTCAGCACCAGGCCGCGGGTTGGTGAGATATAAAGGAGTAGCTGTGGCCTTGCCCCTAAGCCAGACACTAAGCCAGACACTAAGCCGTGGCACTGTGGTTCACCTCTTGGCTGTTCACCCAAAGGTTGGCAGTTCAAACTTTCTCTCTGGGAGAGTGAAACCTTTAGGGCAGTTCCGCTCTGAATCACAGTTGACTGGATAGCAATGGGGCTGGTTGGTTGGCACTAATCTAGTTCAGGGAGAGATCCTACCCCTCAAGGCGGTCTCCTTTTAAGGAAGGAAGCAGGAGCAAGCCAGGCCGGAGCACTGGAGAGCTGAAGCCCCGTCCCATGCTCTCACCCCAATGCAGCAACTGCCGGCCTTTCATCCCAGGCTCACTCGGATTCACCTGGGCCAGAGGGAGAGGCCTCTGGGAGAGCTGGCGCTGGTGACTGTTGCCTTTTGCATTTCTAATGCCCACCTGACCCAGGAGGGCTGGGCTGGGCCTGACACTCACGGGGCACTTCAGCAAGCTTCCAGGTGATGCCATCGCCCCCATCTGTAGAGAAGTGACCATCTCCTCCAGGTTTGCCCCCGAAAGGTCCAGAAGCTGAGATAGCGCTCAGTCTCATAAGCCAGGCCAGGCCAGTCACCTTGCCCCCAGACCCCACTTGGAAGAGCCAGGACAGAGCAAGGCAGATTTGTACTTGGTGCTGGGCTTCACAGCTCTTCCCCACCCCCACCCTGCCCCCCTGCCAAGGCCCTGGAATAGTGCCCCTGGCCTGACACAGGGCTGCCAGACTCCTTCCTCTCTGGCAATGAGGCCCAGCACCAGACCTCTGCCCCCAGGCTTTCACTATAAAGCTACTGGCCCTTTTAAAGGGGGGGAGGGGGAGGATGAAAATGTACCTTTTTTGTTTGCAAAATATTTGACCCTGTGCCTGTCTTGTGCTTGGCCTCTCCGCTGCCAGCAATGTGGTACTTCTGAAAGATGGCCACCAGGTGACAGTAGCGCCACACAGCCCATTTCAGACCGTCATCAGCCTGGCCACCCCTAGAAATTTCCAACTCTTCCTCCAGCTGGCTCTGCCAGCTAATCCAAAAGAAATGTATCTGTGCTGTGATAATGGGCGAAATGAGTTCATGAGCTTCCTCTGGGCAGCATATTTGCCTTTTAATGGAAATGCTAAGAGATTGTTTAAAAGTCCAAGGAAGAAGGCTAATGCGGCATTGCAGGCACCACGTGGACGGTGTGGGTCAAGGTAGAGCTGTTTCTGAGCAGGCAGACCTCCGAGGGAGCCACAGATTACACCTCATCAATCTGCATCCTACATCTTTCGCCTGGCCTTCCCCCAACGTCTAGCTTAGTGGTGAGACCCTAAGCTGAACCCAGGCAGCTGAGCTCTAGAGCAGGGTGTGTGTAACATGATGTTGGGGCAAGGCCAGGGGGTGGGTCTAGCTAGGATCAATTCATTAAGAAGCCCTGGTGGCACCGTGGTTACACTTTGGGCTGCTAATTAACCCTCGCAGTTGCATGGTCAGCCGTTTGAAACCACACACTGCTCTGAGGGAGAAAGAGGAGGCTGTCTACTTCCATAAAGCGTTACAGTCTCGGAAACTCACAGGAGCCGTTCTACCCTGTCCTGTGGGGCCGCTGTGAGTCAGCATTGGCAGGGAATCAGATGGCGGGAGAATCTCACTTGCTGATAATATGTTGAGTAAGAAGCCCTGGGAGCACTGTCAGGGAAATGCTGAACTGCTAACCACAGGGTTGGTGGTTCAAACTCACCCGCAGCTCCAAGGGAGAAGAATGATTCTGAGTGACATTAACAGTGTTAGAAACTTTATACAAGGCCACGTGAGTGGGGGCAAGAGAAAGACAGGCTTTCTGCTCCCGTAAAGAGTGACCGTCTGGGAAATGCGGGCCCATAGGTCACCCGGTGGCGGTGAGCAGTAGGGGAACGGGCTCCATGGGAGAGGGTTGGGTTTGGTTTCTGTCCGCTGCAGCTTCCCCATCTGTGGAATGAGGGCAATAGTCCCGCTTTCACTTAACTCAAGGGTTCTCAACCTTTCACAGGGTCGCCTGATTCATCACAGTAGCCAAATGACAGTGATGAAGTAGCAGTGTTATGTTGGGGGTCCTCACCACATGAGGAATGGTATGAAAGGGTCGTGGCATGAGGAAGGTGGAGAACCGCTGCCATAACTGGAGTGAGGAGTCTGCACAATCACGTTGCTAGGATGCTGGACAGGTCTGGGCGTGGGGAGCTTCCAGACCCAAAACAGACTAGGCAAAAAGGCCTGGCAATCTACTTCCCAACTCGGGTGGGTACCTACTGCCAAGACGCAGCCAATGAAGATGCAACGATGGAGCACGACGGAGCGCTGCCTCATCCACACTTGGTCATGAGGGTGGAGCAAGACTGGGCGGCGTTTCATTCCTGGGTCACCGTGAGTTGGGCCAGATCACCAGCAGCTGGCTGCAGCAACACTAAGTGATCAGCTGCTGTCACCCTCAGCACCTCCCACCCTGCCTTCCTCTTGTCTGTCTGTGTGCCACCCATTGTGTGTGACGAGACCACAGAGAGTGTTAGAATGCCAGCCTGGTGACCACCAGCCCGGTCCTTCAGGACACAGCACTCTCCAGGTCCCTGGCCTCCTGTCAAGTCTGGGACACCACAGCGGATGGGGGGGAAGGGGCGCTGGCCGGACCAGCAGGTTTGCAGGAGAGACATCTGCAAGAGGTGTGTCACCATACGGATATCGTGAACCCCGAACTTGCAGGTGAGCAGGATGTGTGAGGGTACGTGCGACCCAGTCTGTCCCCTTCCAGGCCCCAGACACACTGTGCGTCACACAGCGGGGCTTTATCGTCACATGCTCCTGGACTCTCTAACGCTTTGGTTACCGTCATGTTCAGGCTCATCCACACCATGAGCAGAATGCGATCTAATTCTCCAACCACGTATGTTGGATATTGCAATCGCCTGGGAGGCTTTTAAAATCGGATTCCCTGGCCAAGTTCCAAACCACTTACATGCGAATTTCTGGGAGTGGGCCCCGAACATCAAATGAATCCCAAACCAGTGAATGCTGGCGTAGGTGCTTCAGAATTCCTGCATGTGCAAGTCGCTCACGTGGGGAGCTTGCTCAACGTGGCACTTATAGGGTAAGCATTGGGCTGTCAGTTCAACCCCACCATCTGCTCCTGGGGAGAAAGATGAGGCTGTCAGCTCCCATTAAAATGTAGTCACGGAACCCCGAAGGAGCAGTTCTAGATGGGTTTAGTGTGAACTGGGAGGGAGTCCGAGCAGCATAGTGGGTTATGAGCTGGGCGGTTTAAACTCACCAGCAACACCCTAGGAGAACGAGAGGCTGTGTGCTCCTGTCAACACTGCAGTCTCAGGAGCCCACGGGAAGTTCTGCTCTGCCCTCCAGGGTCGATGAGTTGGAACTGACTCAAGGGCAGTGGGCTGTGGTGACCACAGGTGGTAGTCGGGCTGGAGTAGAGCGTGCTGAAACAGGTTCTCCTAAGAGGTGGGTGCTGTTGGTCCACAGACTGCACTTGGGTGTCCAGGTTGCAGAGCAGTGATGCTCCACCCTGAACAAGCATCAGTCACCTGGGAGGCCTGGTAAACATCTCCACCCCCACCCCCACCCCACCCCACCAGTCAGGTTTAGAAGATCTGCCACGGGGCCAGACCATGTGCATTTCCAACATGATCCCGGGTGATGAGGACACTCCTGTCATAGCCCAAGGGAAGGACATCGAGGGGGAATAAAAGGTTTGGGAGCCCAGCAGTGTCCTGCCTTAACTCCGCCATCATAAGCCAGTCCTACCGCCTCCCTGAACTGTCACATCACTGTGTGTCAGGTTGCCATCATGGAAAAAGTAAATTGAGCTCATATGAAACACCCAGCACTGCCCGTGGCAGGAACCTTGGACATGATTACGAATCTGAAATTTGTGGGGTGGGGTTGCTGTGCGTTATAGAAGCAACTGAAGCCAGGCACTCAGCCCCATAGATAAGTGTTGATCAATTGGCCTGAAGTGAGCTCCTCCTCTCTTTCTAGCTACTTGGATCTTTGTATTGGCGCCGTGGTTAGGTCATCGGTTTGAACCCACGAAGGATTTGGTTCTCTGCTACCATTTTGGAAGCCCCAGCCCCCGTGGGGCAGTTCCGCTCCATCTCGCAGGGCCTCTGTCAGTCAGAATCGGCTTCCCGGTGGGCAGTGGGTTTTGGTTAGACTTGGGCCCCACTCCTAGGGTCCTGAGGAGCCCGAGGGCATAGTGGTCAGGCATTGGGCTTCGATCCACAAGCTCGGTGTGAAACCACCAGTTGTTCCTCGGGGCTTTCTACTCCCCTAGACAGTTACAGCCTCGGAAGCTCACAGGCACAGTTCTCCTCTGTCCTATAGGGACACTGAGTCAGCATGGGCTTCACAGCAATGAGTTTGGTTCTTGTTTGTGTTGGTCCTTGGGTTTCTAACTCAGGTCTGATGTGGGGCTGTTAATTTACATTTCGAATCAAGTCCCAGATGATGTAGGTGGTGGACTCCAGGGACAGTGTTATAGGTAGGATTATTGTGCCAACCTGGCCAATGTGGGATTAATAAGGTCGCAGTTTACTTGAAGGGCAAAGAGATAAATGGCTTGGCGAGCCTCACCGTTCTGTCTCTTGCTCTGTGATGATCAGACCAGTGTGTGGCTGCCTTAGCTAGTTCTCTGCCTCAACTGTGAGCTACACTACCTGTGGGACACCCAACCTGTGGACTTTGTCGCTATAGTTTGAGGTGCCTTCGAGACCTTCACCACACTGCTGGTGTATAGATCACTTGAGCTGGGGACTGTCGGAGCCTGTCATCTGGCTGACTGTTGGTGACCCGCCCTGCTGTTTGCTATCTGTGGCTGGACTGCCTGTATTGCTCTGCAGAAGACTCGGCTGTCTGCTTCCTTGACTTAGACCCAGCAGCCCTCGTGTGTTTAAGAACTGCCAATATATTAACTGTCTCAAGGTAGTGAGTCTCAGGGAAGTGAGTTGAACTGAGTACTGCTCTGTGGACTAATGAGCGGTTTATTTCTTCCTGTTGTATCTATCTATCTACAATCACAAGTGTCCTGGTTTTGTTAACACAGATGACACTGGGCTACTGTTGAGCACTGAGGGACCGGGCAGAGCTGCCCCTTGGGGCTCTCAGGGTTGTCATCTTTACTGCAGCATGTCCAGCCGGGCCTCTCTCTCCAGCAAACCTTCTCACTCCCTGCCATCCAGTCCAGGCCGACCCTTCGCTATCTATAGGGCAGGGGAAAACAGCCCGTCGGGTTCCTAGACTCTTTATGAGAAGGAGCCATGTCGTGTAGTGGTTACGGGCTGGGCTGCAATGCGCATGGTCGGGAGTTTGAAACCACCACCGGCTCTGCGGAAGAAAGACTGGGCTTTCTCCTCCCGTAAACAGTCAGTCTCCGAAACGCACAGGGGTCGCTGTGAGTCAGCATTGACTCGATAGCAGGAAGAGTTAACCCCCTGCGGGAGTGGACGGCCTCCTCTTTCTCCAACAGAAAGGACTTTAGGACCCACCGTAAGGACTGTCCCCCTCCTGCCAGGGAGGTCCCGGTGGAGGGCAGGCCGTGAAGCTGGGGGTCCCTGGTCACACTGTTAGCCGTGAGTTTTGTGTTCATTTCGGGTGGGGACTGGCTCCGCAGCTTCGGCAGCAAGGCGGCTTCCCCGGCGGTGCATGCCCTGCCTCCCGGCTCCTTCTGCAGAATGAACCACACCAGCAGGGCGAGGGTCACCTCTGGAGTAACCCCGGGAAAAGGCCAGGCCCTTTGGGCCTTAGCTGCTCAGTGGGTTACCAGGGGTGAGCTAGGCGGGAGGCCTGTGACTCCAGGGGGAGAGCTGCGAGGGAGGCTGCCGAAGTCCAGCCCACGTGGCTAGCCAGCCACATCAGAGCGCCAAGACAACACCAACTCTTTATTACAGGGATTCCTTCGAAACAGCTCCAAGGGGGAAACCCACACAGAGGAGGGGAATAAAACTAATAAAGCCACACATACACAGACACACAGGCACACGCACAATAGAGGGGATTGGGGATTTCCGGCCAGAGCGCAAAGCCTCCTCTGCCGCCTGCCCCTGGGATGGATGGAGCTGGGCCCCATCTCGCACTGAGGCTGTGCAGGGCTCCGCTGGGCTGAGTCGCCACCCACGCTTCCAAATGTAGGCACGCCTGCCGCTGCAGCGGGGGCATGGCCCACTAGCAGGAAGCCAGTGGTCTGGAGTCGGGCCAGGACCTTGGGCAAGTCCCAGTACGCTCAGGGCCTCCCCTCTGCGGCCAGCCCAGGGCGAGCACTCAACAGGGCCTGAGGGCCTTGGGTGAGTTGGGGGCCACCAGTGCCCCCACTGAAGTCCGGTTGCCACTCCCAGCCTCACTTGGGGGTGGCCAGGCTGTGCGGAGCACCACTCTGTAACCCCAAGGCTTGCCCTACTCAGGCAGCAGGCAGGGAGGGCCATGGCAGTGATGGGGGCTGCAGGGTAAGCGCTCCAAGAAGCTGAGGTTTCCTGCTTGGATCAGGTGCTCACTCTTCTCAGGGGACACCCACAGAGCCCCTCAACCTCAGGCCCCCCAGCTCAGACCGGGCCTTGTCTTCGAACTAGCACTGTTGGAATTGGTGTTCTTTCAACAGGGCAAACAGGGTCTTAGGACACTGGGGTGGCCCCCTTCCCGCCCATCTAGAGGAAGAGGCAGCCTTTAGGGCTGTGGCCTTCAACATGGGTGGCCGATGGCCTAAACAAAGCACTGTCACTTCCCCCGTGGTGGCCCGTTACTCCTTGGCGCCACCCCAACCCCGATCAAGGAAAGGCTGGGTGCAGAAGGCCACATGCAGCACGGGCACAAGGTGCGCAGGTCAGATGGCTTCATTACGCCTGCTGGGCCGTGGGCCAGAGGGGGAGGCAGGGACCCCAACTTCGGGTCAAGGAGCCTCTTGTCAGCGACCACCCCAGCCTTGCCCACATCCCAACCTTTGCCCGTTTTTCAGTGTGCTGTGTTGTAAAGGTTGGTCCTTGCATTTGCACTCATCGCCCATAGAACAGAGGGCCTGGCTACATGCAGAGGGGGCTGTGATTGGCTGCTGCCTCTGGGCCCCCCAGGTGTTTCCTCCAATCGCAGCAGGGGACCCCGCCCCTCAATGTGGTCGTGGCAGTGGTGGGCTGGACAGTGGAGGGAGAATCACTGGGCCTCAAGACTCCAGCACCATGTGTCCGGCTGCAGCTGGGTCCTCCAGCCGGAGGCCGGCCTTGCTCCGCGGCCAACCACCCTGGTCAGCGGATCACGGGCCAGGTGGCACTGCTGCCATCTGCAGAGGAACGGGACAGGAGAAAACACTTCCCTGGTCATCGGCTCCTGGAGAGGTGCCTCTGAGCACAAGCCACCAAAGGCCGGGGCCCTCTGCTTTTCCCAGAGCCTTTTAGGTTGGGTGGGGCTCTGGCTGGGGTCACCCCACCCATCCAAGCTCCTGGGAGCATTCCAGTGCAGACTGGCAGGGAGAGATGGAGGGGGATGTGGACTTCCAGGGAGGAGATGCTCTCTGACCTGAGCTCAAAGGTGGGACTGTGACAATCGATGGCAGACCAAGAGGGCCTGGAGGGGGTTGTGGGGGCAGAGCAGGCAGAAGACTAAGAGGGTCCCAAGACCACTTGGGAAGCCCATGGAAAAAGCACGGGAGAAATAGAGCTGGCGCTGTGACCTGGTGGTGGGATGCACGCAGGCCCATGGAAAACCAGCATCTCACTAGTGAAGGAGCGTTGACCGGGAGGCTGACACCAGCTTTCAGTGAGTTACCTCCCAGGGCTGGAAAGATCCTTAAGAACGCAAGTAGGGGTGTGGAACATTTTGGGGGGACAGAGATAGAGGTGCAGATGTTGGGACCCCTTTTACAGAATTATTGCTGGTGCTGCCAAGAGGGAGGTGGGTAGTGAGAAACCTTGAAGGGGGTCAGGCAGGGCAGTGGGGGGAGCTGGCATTGAGGGGGGTGGGAGAAGGGCAGAGGCGGCCCAGTATTCCCGGGTCAGCGGAGCCAAGGGGAAGGCAGTCTCTGGTAAGATGAGGAGCATCTTCACAAGGACACAGCATAGAAGTCCCTGGGCCTTGCAGGTGGCTTTCCTGCACCAACCCAGGGGTGGGGGAGGGCCAGCAGCCACTCATTCTGAGCCCAGGAGCTTGCTTTTAAGATGAGGAAGAGGGGGTGGGAGTAGGGGGGGCTGCATGACAAGAGGCAGGGATAAATGCTGAGCAGAGTCCTGAGAGGGGGTGGCTTGGGACAGGAACGCTTCTCCCTGGAGACCAGTGGGAAGGGGAAGGGACTGAACACAGCAGCAGTGCTGTGTGCAAGTGGAGGTGCAGCCAGCCCCGGGGAGGGGGGGCGTGTGGGTGCTGCGCCCTGAGCAAGGAAAGCTTGAGGGGAACACCAGAGGTGTGAAGTGCCCCTCGGGGCTGTGGTGATGACATGAAGCCTGCGGTTGAAGTGGAGCCACTGGAGGCGAGGTGCCTGTAGGTACTTGTTCCAGGCGGTGTCCCCGCCCTCCCCGCCCTGCTTGGCCTCGCCTCCACCACCAACTGGGGGCAGCATGTATTTCTACACCGCTGCTGCAGCTGCCAGCTCCAGAGACCGTCCAGACAGTCCAGAGACATGGACTCTTGGAGCGCTGGGGAAGGGTAGACCAAGCAGCTTCTGGACTGGGGCGGGGGAGGAGGGGGCAGCTGGAAGAGGGCCAAGTAGACTGAGTCACAGGAGGGGCAATGTCCCCATCTGGTGATGGCTCGTTCCCGGACTAGCCAACCCAGAGGAGATCTGTGTGTGCACAGCACTAGGATGAAGCCACCTCTGCTCTTCGGATAGCTTCCGCTCAGCACACTGCCTTCTAAGCCGGGCTGTAAACTACCCAAGGTCAAGAGCAACGCTATGCCAGGACGCGTCTGCTGTAAGCGGGAGTGTGCCATAGCTTCAGAAAGAAATGCCAATACGAATTTCGAAGCTGAGGCCCTTGTCTCCTGCTACCACAACCAGTGGCCTGAACCCCTGGAAAGGCACCTGGGTGTGGGAGGGGCAGTCCCTGGGCAGCAGGGTGCCAGGCCTCACCTCTTAGTGACCTTCCCTTAGGGCTTCTTCCACCTTGGGCACCTCTTGCCTCCTTCCCCGGCCGTCTTCATCTGAAAAGCAGAGGGAAGCTGCCTCACCCGCCACTCTGCACGGCCAGGCTCAGGCATGCCCCTCGCACTGAGATGGAGTGTGGGCTCAACTGCCCTCCCCACTTTGCCTGAGCGGGCACAGGCTGATCCCCCGGCTGTGCGGTTGGGTTGGATGGGAGAAGCCACCTGGCTGCTGGCCTGGCTCCCTCACAGAGCTGAAGCCATGGGAAGTCCCTTCCCATCCTGGGTCCTTGGTTTGCTCGTTGTCCAAAGGGAGGGGATAGTTGAACAATCTAGATGACTTCCAGGGCCTTTTCCGTCCTTGTCCCTGGGTGTCTTGTCACCACCCCAGGGCCACCGCCTCTGCGGGCTGAAGGCCAGGGTTTGGCTGGGGCCTGGTAGGGTGTGAGGGGTCATCTGGCCCGTGGGGAAGGACTAGGCAAAGTGAGGCAGCGCTGGGTCAGAACTGCAACCTGTCCAAGCTTGACGCTCACCCTCCAAATGCCAGGCCCATCTGCCCCCGTGGGGTCTGAGAGCATTACCCAGAAACAGCCTGGCTCTTGTCTACAGGTGGAGGTGCACTGGGGCCCCCTCTTGGGTTGGAGAGGGAAGGGAACAGTGTGGACCAGGCAGGCAGCTTCACTGGTGTGTCCTAGGTTGAATGTTCCCCCCACTACTGCCGGACCCACCGGGACCTCCTTTCAGAGGGCTCCCAGCCAAAGCTCAAACCCTCCCGTCCTCTGTCCCCACAGCCTCACCGCAAGTGTGCCCCTCCACATCATCCAGGAGATTGGCCGTGGATGCTGCAGCCCCCAGCCTGCCAGACCATTCAGGAAAGCTGATGGGAGGTGTGGCAAGCAGCACAGTCCTGCCCTCCTGCCTGCCCTGAGCTCAGGGGGCGTCTCCACCCACCACCCACCCCAGCCTCCTCTGATCCTAGAAGTCAGACATTCCTCCTTCCTCTGGGACTGGCTGAGCAGCTCCTGACCTGACCGCCCTTGCCCCCAGCCCTTCTCCCGTGCTCAGCCTGTCCCTCAGGCCTGGAAGAGGGTGGTGGGAGTCCGGGCAACAGCAGACTGGGAGTGAGGAGGCAGAAGATGTGCAGACCGGTCCGGGTCAAGACATTAGGGGCAGGGGGGCTGACGTTGATGGACGAAACTGTGTTTCTCCAGAAGACACATAAGATGCCAGACAGTGGGGGGAGGGGATGGCAGGACCACCTCAGACCCTGTCCACCCCCACCCCCACCCCAGGCTGGGAAGGATACGACTGGTGCTTCAACAAGTGCTTCCTCTTGGCTGACTTCCTCATCTTGGTCTTCTCGGAAAAGGCCCGGGCAAGTTCAAACAGCTTCCTCCGGGTGGCTGGGGGCAGAAACACCTGTGAGCTGCTGGCCACTGAGTGGGCACCGGGTGGGGACAACCTGGTACTGGGGAGCACGAGGCAGGATCTTATGACCCTGGTGGGTGCAGGCCAGCAAGAGAGCCCTGAGGGAGGAGGGCCAGACATGCAGGCTGTCTTCCCGTCTCCGCCTGCAGGGGCAGCACAGGCCACTGGGAGCTGGAACAAGGACCTCCATGCAGCCCAAGATCCGGGTATTCCTTCCCTAACAACGGCAGACAGCCATGCACCCTGGCTTTCTTTCCTGCTGCCCTGTGTCGCGCTACCACCACCATCCCTCCCAGGCCAGCTCGGCTCGGTACTGCTTCTGAGATCGGCTTGAAATGGGGACTGGAAGAATTGCAACTTGGTTCGCACAAGGCGGGGGGTGGGGGGAGTGGCGGGAGGGAGGGCTGTCCAAGGCTGGAAAGACTTTGTAGGGTGAGGTCATCCACCCCACAGGCCACCCCTCCCACCCCTCCTCAGGCTGTAGAGGAAGTGACTTCTCCCAGTGGGGACTGGGTGCAGTGCTGACAGCTGGCTCAGGGGGATTTAAAACTTAATTTGTATCCAGCTGTAGAGAAAAGGTGTGTGTGTGGGGGGGTCCGGAAGGCAGAGCGAGGGAGCCAGGGTGCAATTCATATGTCACTCCAGATCACCAGGAGCCAGCTGGGCTCCAAACTCGGGGGGAGGGGGGGGGCTCCCTTGCTCTCTCCCTCCCAGGAGACCAGGGCCAGTCTGGGCAGGAGGCTGGACTCACATTTTCCCATGTGCTCCAACTTGTCCCTGAATAAGGCATCTTCAGACGCAGTGTGGTTGGCTTCACTCGCCCCTGGAAGGGAAGACACCTGCTGTAAAGGGGGCTGAAGAGGGAGGTCAGGGCTGTTCCCCAAGGCAGCGAAATCCGACCTTGCCTTCCACTTGGGGAGGGAGCAAGGAGCAGCTGTCTCATGGATCAGGAAGGAGTGGGATATGTGGGGGAGCCTGACTTTCCCCCTCGGTAAAAATGGGTGCCCATCGTCTGCTGTGTGCACTCGGAGGGCTCTCGCGATGCCATCAGGGAACTTGACATTGGGGGGAGAGGGGGGATGTACACGTGAAAATCTCCAAGCCTCCCCATGAGGGTCCCCCACCCCCAGAGCCAGCAACAAGGTGCATGAGGCCTGAGGGGGTGTCCCCTACCTTCCAGGAACACCCTGCTCCGTCAGAGCCCTGCCCTCCACCAGCCCCCCACCCCAATTCCCAGCTAGACTGACAATGAGTCCAAAGGATAATGAAGGAGAGGGGCTGGTCCCCAAAGTCAGCACCTCACTCCGTGCCCTTAGAGCCCCTCCCGCCTCTGGCTGTGCTGCCTACTCGGCTCCTCCAGGGTCACCTTGCAGGCTGAGTCCCCTTTGAGTCATTCTGATCCATCTCAGCAGGGCTGGCATCTCTAGTTAATTCCAGATCAAGGGCTGGAGGCTCTTGGTGGGGGGGTGGGTCGCTAAGCTCCTGCCTGTTGCTTACAAATCAGTTCACAGGGATCGCTCTCAGTCTGTCTCGCTCTCTTCCCCCGCAATCCCCACCTGCCTTTGGAGGAAAATTCCCTTCCCGGCCAAAGCTGCTGGGCTTTTCCCTGAGGACGCAGCTGCGGGGAGGGAGGGAAGCCAGCCACAGCTCAACCCTTCTGCCACTACCTCCTCCCTCAGCCCGAGGAGAGGGCGCTCCACTCCTGCCTCCCCAGCTTGCTTCCCAAACTCAAAGCCTGGCCCTTCAGAGTCGGGCTGCAGGGCAGCTACTCCCAGCGACTGCCTGAAACAGCACTTCCAGCTGAACCCTGCCCTCCGCCCTTCACACATTAGCAACCATCAAGTGCTTCCTTAAAGTTGCCGGTCTGTCTACATGATTCATAGACAGATGTCTCCTGCCATCAGTCCCCCCAAGACCAGAAGCTCCCTAAGGACCCAGACCAAGCAGGCCTTTCAATCTCCCTGTCCTCTGTGTCCTGACCCCTTTCATGGGACACTGGGGGGGGGGGGGCAATACTGCAGGGACCTCCTGGGGCAGCAGCCAGCCTGCATGAGTCAGTGCCACCCATGGGTTCATGGCCCCCTGCAATGCTAGGGAAGCTGGACCTCAGGGCTAAGAGGACATGGAGGCAGGACCCAACCTCAGAGTGTCTAAGGTAGAAAAGGGTTCATTCGGGGTTCCCATCCCCACTGGAACACAAGCTCCAAACCAGGGCCCAGGTCCTCCAGGACACCCACCACCATTCCGGCCCTGGGACGGTTACCTGGGGCAGGAGAAGGAAAGCCGAAGTCGGTCCCGATCCCCGCACTGCTAGATTTGGCCTTCTGGGACTCGTATGTCAGTCGATCTGGAAAAGGACCTCACTGCAGTCAGGAGGGAGGAGTGCTCGCTCCCTCCCGACACAGACACCCTCAGGAGATGTCAGAATTCGAAGGACTCCTAGCGGGGCTAGTCCAAGGCCCTAGCTGTGGACCTGGGACCAGTCCCTGGCCCCTTCCTTCGCCCAGCATTCTCCTTGCACACCCTTTTCCTCCCAGCCACAGTCATGTCCCACAGAAACACACTTGCTTTCACCTCCAGAGCTCCAGGCAGACCTCCCGGAGCCCGCTCTCCCTGATTCGCACCCCAAGCACCCTGGCGCCCTGAAAGGGAAAAGCAGCCAGGCTGAGGAGGGGGCTTCAGTCCACAGACAGCCAGGCTGGGGAAAACCTTAGGAGCCCCTGCTCTATGCAGGGTGCCTCCCTGTCGGTCACTCTGTCCATGGAGCTCCTGAGACATCCTGTCTGCCCTGGTGGCAGGTGTGTGTGTGTGTGCGCGCGCGCGCCAGGTCTCCCTGAGCAGGATTCTGGGGCTCCCACAGAATGAGCTGGTGGGGGATATGTCTTGTCAGGACAGAAGGGCTGGCACCCTTACCTCTCCCGAGCACTCAGAATGCACCCCACCCGCCCGCCCGTGCGGTGCGCCACCTCTCTCCAGGGCCAGGAGGAAGTCACGGTTGCGCTGCAGCTCTTTCATAAACTCCTCGTTCTGTAGGAACAGCGCGATCCTCTCGTCCTCCAGGTACTGCTTCCAGCGGCTCTCCTGGTCTCGGGGTCCTGGCCCGGCCCCCGAGGGGACAGGGCCTCCTTCTCCGAGGCTCAGAGGCTTGGGAGTCCCGGGGTTGCACTGAGAAAAGAGCCAGCAGAGGACGCACACCTGTGTGTCCACATCCTTCCCCAGGGGCCCCAACCCCGCCCCGCTGGACCTGGCCATCAACCCAAAGCCAACCACTCAGGTCAGCATCCTCTCTGCTAGGGGAGCAGCCAGGCTTACAAATGCTGCTCCTCCGGTCACTCCATCCCTTCAGCTACAGGGAGACCGGCCCCGAAAAGTGGCTTTGGTCACCCGGTCGCCAACCTGTGCAGTCCTTGCCCCAGCTGCTGCAGGGTGGACCCCCTCTCTTATGCCAGCCTCTGGGAGAAGCTGCCTAGGCCATTACCAGGAGCAGGGAGACGCCCCTCTGCCACTGGCTACTCCATGGCCCCTCCCCTTCCAGCTTCCTCAGAGCGGGCACCTTCCCCAGTAGACCAGGAAAGCAGACCAGGGGAGGAAACAAAGTATTCTATCCGGCTCCCTGTTCTTTCCCTATGGACCCAGGGGCACCAAAACGGCTCAGGCTGGACTCCCCAATCAGGAAGTGCAGCTGGCACAATCAAGGAGACTAGTGGGCGGCAGGTGGGCCGGGAGGTGGGCTCTGTCCCTTTTACCTGTATGCTGTCGCGCTGCTGGGGCAGGATGCGCAGAAAGTCATCCGGGAGGTTGCCCAGCAGCGGTGGGTTCCAGTTCCGATAGCGCCTCTGGCTTGAAGCGGGGCTGGACCCCAGCACGTCGATCCTGGGGGTGCAGGGGGACGAGGGGAGAGTCAAACCAAACCCCCACCTCACTGCCATGGCATCCCTTCCCCTCAGTGACCCCCTCTGAGTTTCGAAAGCTGTAGATCTTTATAGGAGCAGAAAGCCTCGTCTTTCTCCCTCAGAGCAGCTGGTGGTCTTGAACTGCTGATCTTGTGGTCAGCAGCTGCATGCATAACCTGCTATGGCACGCTGAGGAGGGAGTCAAAAGAGCCAAACTGACTGCCATCAAGTCAACGCCCACTCACTGTGACCCTATGGGGCAGGGTAGAGCTGCCCAGTGAGTTTCCAAGACTGTAACTCTTTACAAGAGTAGAAAGCCCTGTCTGCCACAGAGCCGTGGGGAGTTTCAAACTGCCGACCTTATCGTTAGCAGTCCAATACGTAACCACTGAGCCGCCCGTGCTCCTCGGAGGAGGAGGAGTCATGCCCAAGCACAGTCTCCAGAGCCTATGCCAGATCCAGCGGACACTTCCCCAGCCCCCACCTCTGGGTTGGAGACTCAGACCGTGAGGACTCAGCCACTCTGCCAGCCTGGTCCCAGGTCTCTAAAACCAAAATGAAGCTCAATGCCAACGATTTGATTCTGACCCACAGAGACCCTACAAGGCAGGAAACAACTATCCTGCTGGCTTCCAAGACTAGGGGGGCGGGTTCTTAACAGGAGCAGACAGCCTCATCTTTCTCCCAAGGATCCACTGGTGGGTCTGAACCACTGACCTTGTGGTCAGCAGCTCAATGCATAGCACAGGATGCCGCCACAGCTCCTTACCCAGGTCTCCGGGTCTCGGACTCCCTTGGAGGGGTGTGGGTTTAATTAGATGCTTGACCACACCCTCTCATGTTGTATTCAAGAGCAGGGAGCGTGCCCTCTGTCCATGTCTCCTGGCAGCTGGGTGACAAAGGTGACCCAGCTATTGGCAGGTGGGGGAGGTGTAGGATTGGGGGCACTTGGCTCCCCTACAGGTAACGGCACTAAGGAAGCCCAGGGGAGAGAGTGGAGCAGCTCCGTGTGTCAGTTCTGGCCCTGCCACCACACAGCCAGCCAAGTGCTTGGGGGGGGGGGGGGGGGGGGGGGGGAGTGGGGCAGGCCTTCTCCCTGCTGGACCAGGTCACCTCTTTCAAAGTACTGGGGGCTCCCCATGAGGCTGTGTGTTCAACCGTGTGCAGACAAGGCATATGGAGGCTGAGGGTGGAGGAGTGCTGGCTCCAATGAGCAAGCAGAGTTCAGGGCTGCCCTGCCCTGGCAAAGTGAACCCTAGGCACTCCAGGCTCCGCCAGAGACCAAGGCTGGGTGGTACGCACCCTCCCCCCTGCCACCCCGGGTGGGTCCTGCGCTACCCTCCAGGGCAGCCTGGCTGGCTCGGGGCTTCTTACATGCCTCGGCAGCCTGCAGCGTGGCAACCACAGGACACGTGTTCTGCTGGATCAGGGAGGTGACGGGGGGGCGGCAGGCCCTGGTGGGTGGAGGGGCCGCTAGCTCCCTCCTGCTGGCTTTGATTTGGGCTCCGGCTCCAGGAATCCCTGCCGCCCCCTCACTGGAGGGGAGCTTTTCCGGGCTGCCGCTCAGGATGGAAATAGCTTCCTTTCCTTTTCTATTTTAGGCGGGTGGCCAGGCGGGGGCGGATGGGACAGGGTGGCAGCAGACGGGATGACAGGCTGCTAAGTGCTTGATGGGAGATGGGCTTGGAGGCGCAGACTGGGCAGGGGAACCCCGCCTCCCTTCTCCCTCCTCCCCGCCATCGCCCTCCCTGGCTCTACCGAGGGGGAAGCTCCCATGTCCCGCTCCTCAGTGACTGGCTTCTGACATACTGAGGCCTCCCTGCCTTCAGTCCCTGTTGAAGGGTCATTCTCCCCTGGTCCCCGAGGCTGGGGAAAGGATGCACCCCTCTCTCAGGGACTCCCAGCTAGGAGAAAGCCTCTCTGGTGTTACCACCTCTCCTGGGCTTCAGTGTCCAGCTGGGAGCTGGGACCTCAGCCCCACCTCACCCACACTCAGAAGGTAGCAGTGGAGTGGCCCTTGGGGGCCTCTAGCCAGGCTGACTACAGAGAGATGGGAGGCTGGGAGTGGTGGCTGTGATCCAGGCAGAAGGTAGGCCAGGCCCTTTGGGCCCTGGGGAAGGGGAGGGGGTGTCTGTTGGTTGGGGGCTGGGCACAGGCAGCCCCAGCGACTCCATTGTGGTCCGAGAGGAATGTCAGAAATGAGCTGAGAGGCAGACAAAAAAACTTCCAAGGCTGTACTTTCACTGGAAAAACAGCAGAGGGTTTGTGCCAATACAGAAGGGGCTGGTGGGGGAGGGGGCAGAGGAGAGGGGAGGCGGGGAGTTTCTCCTGATCCTGAGTCTCTGCCCACCCCCGCACCCCCACTATGTCCCCCTGGAAGTTTACCCAGAGATCTTTCAGAGAAGAGCTGGAGGCTCCCGCAGGGTCTGGCTCTGGCTTAGGGCACACAGGGGATCTAGAAACATCTCGGGGGTGTCTGCTTCCCCGGGGCACACAGCAGAGCAGGACCAGGAGGCCGGGCCACCCAAATCTCATCACACTCAGCACCCAAAGGGTATTTCTTTCTCAAAACCCTAACCTGGCCCCCTCCCTGGCAGTTTAACACCCTGGGGCTACTCCCCTTCGCCCAAGCTCTCTGGAGAGGAGGCCTCTCTGCCCCAGGCTCAGCTGACCTCTCCAGCCTCTCAGGCAGTTATTCTGTACTTCCTGGAGTTCCCTGGATGGCTCTATCTTTCCGGGCCCCAGGCCTTTGCAACTGCTTCTCCTGAATGCCCTCTGGTCATCTGCTCCACCAGACTAACCTGGGTGTGGCCCTCCCTCCCGTCAAGCTGGGGCATCTGGACTGGTCGCCAACCTTTCCCACCCCCTTTCCAGATTCTGATCTCCTTGGGGAACAAGACAGGGTTGTATCCACCTGTGCATCAGCCACCCTCTCATCACCTGCATATTGTAGGCCACTCAGTGCTGCAGTAAATGTTGCAGGTGGCAGGGAGATGGCCTCTGGATAGATCTGGGCCCAGCTAGGCCATCCTGGGGCAGAGAAGCTGGTGCATCCGGGCTGGCCCTGTTTCTTCTAGACACTGGTCTGGGTGAGGTAGTTTATTGTGCCAAGCTGGCCGATAAACACATATAAACACATGTGGGGTTAACTGAAGGGCGGAGAGATAAATGGCTCAGTGAGCCTCGCCTTTCTAGTTCTTTGGTCTCTTGATTTGTGATGGTTGGACCAGGGTGCAGCTGCCTTAGTCAGTTCCCTGCTTCAGCTTGCAAGGCTGACTTCCTGCAAGACATCCCCAAGGAGAAGCCACACAGACCTCCCGGGATGCAGCCCTGGGGCTGGAGCAGCTGTGTGGAGACCCCTGCCAGCACTGAGATGCTTACACATTCACTGACTTGGCTTTCCTCCTGCAGTCGGCATCATTGTGTGTGTTTTGTGAGATGGAGGAGGACCTTGTGGATTGGTGTCAGACATATGGGTTAATGTTGGACTTGTGGGCTTGGGCAACACTGGGTTGGGATGTTTTCTTGATGTTCGCTTAACCTTTATATAAAACTCTCTCGTATACATTAGTTTCTGTGGATTTGTTTCTCTAAAGTACCCAAACAACACACTGGGGAAAGCCGCACCCTTTGTGTCAAATGTTCCAGCTAAACACACGGCCGCCAGGCCAGCCAGGGAGCAAGATGGTGCAGTTCGTTCTGACTACAAGTCTGCTCTGTGGCTGGCGCTGGGCCAAGGGCGCCACACACAACGTCTCATCGGGGATGTCCAGCAGTGCGCCCCACGAGGCCGGCCAAGTTCAGAGAGGTGGAGTAAGGAGCCAGAGGCCATACCAGCAGAGGCATCTGGAGAATCGGAAGTCAGGTTGCAAAGAAAGGCAGTCCCTTCTGCCTGACTGCATAACCCATGTCCCTCCCCTATATCCACGACACCACCCCCACTGCACCCCGGCAAAGTCATTTCCTGTGTCAGGTGCAAGGCTAGGGCACGAACATCTGAAGTCCACAGGTCTGAATGCAACAGCCTAAGTTCAGTGCTAAGTCTGCCTGTCCCCTACCACTGGGGCTCGCCCTCACCAGGTGTACTGCCCCTGGCCCCCAGCCCTACGCCACCCACAACTGGCTGAGCACCCAGCCAGAGTCGGGAGGAAGGGCATGGCCCGGACAGCTGCTATGCACTTCTGAAAACTAGGCGAAATCATTCTGTGGACAAGGAACGGAAACTCTGCATCTGAGATGTTCAGGAAAACCACTGAGCCCCAGGCCGCTGCTGTCAGGTGCTGTGGAGGTGGTTGAGACCCACAGCAACCCCAGGTACAAAGACGGAACTGCCCATCCCACACCGGCCTCATGATGGTTTCGATGGAAGCGTCTCAGAGAGGCCCACCCACTTACCTCCCCCTCCCGCCCCAATACAGCCCGCCATTTCCGGGCTCCACTTGTGAGTGGGGAAGGACCAGACTCTGTATCCAGGGCCCCCGCACCTCCAACTTTCTAGGGCTCTCGCTTCCCCAGGCTGTGACCGCAGACAGAGCTTTTCCTCGCTCGGGCGGGGGCAGCACCCAGTAGCAAAGAGCATTAACTCTGGAGCCAATCTGACCTGGGTTTTCGATCTCACCTGGTAGCCCTGGGGAAAGTGCGACATAGCTCTGAGACTCACATTCCTCATCTGTAAAATGGGGATGGGATGGCCGCAGTGGGCCCAACAAACACTGTTAGTTCAAATGCAATGATGCAGCTAAAGAGCCTTGTCCAGGGCTCAAGGGCAAGGTGCTTGGTAAATGTCAGCATCTCTACCTGTGTCAGAGGAGCCCAGGTGGGCAGGGCTTACTCATTGGGCTGCAATCCACAAGGTCAGCAGTTTGAATCCATCAGCCACTCTGTGGGAGAAAGACGGGGCTTTCTACTCCCGTAGAGAGTTACAGTCTTGGCCGCTCACAGGGGCAATTCTCCCCTGTGCTAGAGGGTCGCTCTGAGTCTGCATCGACTTAATGGCAGTTTGTTTAGTCTGGAACTTAGACCTGTGTGACAATAGAGTCCTCCACCTCCCCAGGTCCCCAGAAGAGAGGACTCATAAGGCAGGTCTCTTGTCCCGTCACCTCCCCCAACCTTCACACACCCCTCCCCACCCCCGGCCTGCCTCATTCTAAGGAAAGATGCCTTTCTCTAGGACAAAAAGCGGAATGCTGGGCTCC